CTCTTATCATGAAAGTGCAACTTACAACTAAAGAATTATTTTTCTACACAACTGCACACAAAAAAAACAACAATGTAAAACTTTAGAGCCTGCAAGTCCACTCAGTCCTACTTCTTGTTCAGCCTATTGCCAAGACAAACAAGTTTGTTTACATTTATGTGAGATAATGCTGCCTGCTACTTCTTTACGATGTCCTCTGAAAGTGAGAAAAGGTATTCGTGCGACACTTTTTTAGCCAGCATTGCAACGTATTTACATGCCAGATATTCTAAACATTTGTATGCCCCTTCATACTTTGACTTGTATATAGCACTCTTTCATTTATTTTTTACTGTGCAAATATTTGTAATAAAAAATATAAAGTGGGCACTCTACACTTTGTATTCTGCATTGTAATTTAAATCAGTATTCTTTTGAAAATGTAGAAAAACATCTAAAAATATTTATAATAAATTTAAATTGGTATTCTGTTATTGTTTAACAGTGCAATTAAAACTGTGATTAATTGCAATTAATTGTTTTAAATCACAATTAATCTTTTGACAGCCCTACTAAGTATGTGAATTATTTAGTAATTTCCCATAATTGTACAGCAAGTAGTTAGACTTAATGTTTTTAATTAGTAACTTATCAGTTACTAAGTTTTTAATTACAAAAAATACTGTTACTCACTAGAACAGGGCTTGGGTGACTGGGCAGCCTACTGGTTACATAAGAACATAAGAACCGCGATATTGGGGTCAGACCAAAGGTCCATCTAGCCCAGTATTCGTCTTTCAACAGTGGCCAATGCCAGGTGCCCCAGAGGGAATGAACAGAACAGGTGATCATCAAGTGATCCATCCTCTGCCGCTCATTCCCAGCTTCTGGAAAACAGAGGTTAGGGACACCATCCCTGCCCATCCTGGCTAATAGCCATTGATGGACCTACCCTCCATGAACTTATCTAGTTCTTTTTTGAACCCTGTTATAGTCTTGGCCTTCTCAACATCCTCTGGCAAGGAGTTCCACAGGTTGACTGTGCATTTTGTGAAAAAATACTTCCTTTTGTTTGTTTTAAATCTGCTGCCTATCAATTTCATTTGGTGACCCCTAGTTCTTGTGTTATGAGAAGGAGTAAACAACACTTCCTTATCTACTTTCTCCACACCAGTCATGATTTTATAGACCTCGATCATGTCCCCCCTTAGTCATCTCTTTTCCAAGATGAAAAGTCACAGTCTTATTAATCACGCCTCATATGGAAGCTGTTCCATACTCCTAATAGTTTTTGTTGGCCTTTTCTGAACCTTTTCCAATTCCAGTATGTCTTTTTTGAGATGGGGCAACCACATCTGCACGCAGTATTCAAGATGCAGGTGTACCATGCATTTATATAGAGGCAATATGATCTTTTCTGTCTTATTATCTATCCCTTTCTTAATGATTCCCAACATTCTGTTTGCTTTTTTGACTGCCGCTGCACATTGTGGATAGTTCTCTGAAAACATCCACTCAATGACTCCAAGATCTCTCTCTTGAGTGGTAATGGCTAACTTAGACCCCATCATTTTATATGTATAGTTGAGATAATGTTTTCCAGTGTGCATTACTTTGTATTTATTAACATTGAATTTCATCTGCCATTTTGTTGCCCAGTCACCCAGTTTTGTGAGATCCCTTTGGAGCTCTTCACAGTCTGCTTTGGACTTAACTATCTTGAGTAGTTTTGTATCATCTGCAAATTTTGACACCTCACTGTTTACCCCTTTTTCCAGATCATTTATGAATGCGTTGAACAGTACTGGTCCCAGTACAGACCCCTGGGGGACACCACTATTTACTGCTCTCCATTTTGAAAACTGATGGTTTATTCCTACCCTTTGTTTCCTCTCTTTTAACAAGTTACCAGTCCATGAGAGAACCTTCCCTCTTATCCCATGACAGCTTAGTTTGCTTAAGAGCCTTTGATGAGGGACCTTGTCAAAGGCTTTCTGAAATCTAAATACACTATACCCACTATATCTCAGCCCCCTGCTGGCTGAGTAGCCTCAGCCTTTAAGCTTGGGTGGAGGATAGGGGGATCCAGGCCCTCCATCTTCACCAGGTCCCAGCCCAGAGCCCTGTATGTCAAACCCTGAACAGTGGGGTTGGTGTCCCTCCCGGCAGGGAGAAGCCACTGTCCTGGGCTACTTATTACCAGTCCATTCAGTTTGCGGCATGGCCCCTCTAGTCCAATCTACCAGGCAGCTTGCTTCCCACAGGATTCCCTCTGGAGTGCAGACAGAACCTCGCTGTGGTCCCAGACTCCTTCAGGCAGGACAGCCACTAACTGGTGAGGTTGAGCCACACAATGTCTCTGGGGTTCACTCAGCCAGTTACTTCCCAGGCTGGAGGTTCCTCCACAGCCTCCCTTGGTTGGGGAGCCAGTGTGCCATCTCTTCAGGCAGGGAGACAACTCACTCCTGTCTCTTCCCCAATCAGCCCTGAACTGAGCCAAGCTCCCTTCTTTTATCCCCTCTCCAGGCCTGGCATTGGCTGCAGGTATAGCAGGATGGGGCTAGCTGGGCCCACAGGTTTTCTTTAACCCTTGCTGTGCTGGTTGGAAGTTTCTTGCTTCATCACACTAAATATCACTAAAGATCACCACCACAGAATGGATAGATTCTCTTACCACTCCTAAGAAATAAATGACCAGTCATAGAATCACAGAAATATAGGGCTGGAAGGGATCTTGAGAGGTCATCTACTCCAGCCCCCTGTGCCGAGGCAGGCCCAAGTATACGTTACTGTTCCTGACAGGTGTTTATCCAACCTGTTCTTAAAAACCTCTGGTGATGGGGATTCCACAACCTCACCAGGTAACCTCTTTCAGAATTTAACTATCCTTATAGTTTAGCAAGGTTTTCCTAATATCTAATCTCAATCTCCCTTGCTGCAGATTAAGCCCATTACTTCTTGTCCTACCTTCAGTGGACATGGAGAACAACTGATCACTGTCCTTTTTATAACAACAGTTAACATATTTGAAGACTGTTATCAGGTCCCCCCTCAGGTTTCTTTTCTCATGTCTAAACATGCCCAGGTTATTTAACCTTTCTTCATAGGTCAGGTTTTCTGAACCTTTTATCATTTGTTTTGCTCTTCTCTGGTCTCTTTTCAGTTTGTCCACATCTTTCTTAAGAGTGTGACGCTAAAAACTGGACACGGTACTCCAGCTGAGGCCTCACGGGTGCAGAGGAGAGTGGAACAGTTAGCTCCGGTGTCTTACATACGACACTCGTGTTCATTCACTCAAGAATGATACTAGTCTTTTTCACAACGGCTTCACATTGTTGCAGCCTGTTCAGCTTGGGATCCACTATAGCTCCTGTATGCTTTTCTTCAGTACTAATGCCTGGCCAGGTATTCCCCCTTTTGTATTTGCTCATTTGATTTTTCCTTTCTAAGAGTACTATGGTGCATTTGTCTTTATTTAATTTCATCTTGTTGATTTCACACCAATTCTGCAATTTATCGAGGTCATTTTGAATTCTAATTCTGGCCTCCAAAGTGCTTTCAACCCCTCCCAGCTTGGTTTCATCTGCAGTTTTTATAAGCATAGTGTCCACGTCATTAGCCAAGTCGTTAATGAAAATATTAAATAGTATTCGACTTAGGCCCCGTGAGACCCTTCCGGATACTTCTAATGTTATGAAGTAAAAAATTATTTCTCTCTGTGGCTACCCAGCTCTTGAGGAAGGAGGCTGGAGAACCAACAGCACTGGGAACTCAAGGCTGAATTCATTTGTTAGTGCAGAGTGTTTTCGACAGTGTTAGATACCTGACTGGGCACTGACAATGGGATAACAACAGGGAGAAAGCAATAGGTCTGAGTGGGAAGGGAGAGGAATTACTGGGAGGTCAGTCTATCCCAGGGATCACAGGATGGAAAAGTGCCACTGAAAAGCATAATGCAGTTGAGATTGGAGTAGAGATGTCTGTGAGTGAGCTGGTGGGACTGTGGCGGGGGCAGCAGGTTCTGAGAGGGGGACTCTGGCTGTGTCAGGGACTGGTGACCTTCGAGGAGGTGGCTGTGTATTTTACCGAGGGGCAGGGGGTTCTGCTGGATCCTGTTAGAGAGCCCTCCACAGGGACGTCATAGACTCACAGAATATCAGGATTGGAAGGGACCTCAGGAGGTCATCTAGTCATGCAGGAGAATTAGGAGACTGTGACCTCGCAGAGTAAGTATCCCTGTCTCCTTGGGTGTTAGGATCTGGGTGGGCTCTGCAGGTCACCTTCAGCTCCAGGATCCTACAGCCCCTGCCCCTTAGATATCTGGGGCGATCAGCACTTGCGGGTCCTAGGCCCTGTGTGAGAGAGAGGGTAACCTCTACACCTCATCCCACTGGGACGGAAACTCAGGACTCAGTGTTAATCTGGACATCCCCAGGGTTTCAAAAGAGAGTGACTCCCTGTGTCCCCTGTCTGGGGCTGGTTCCATTTAGGGGCGGTGGAAGCTTCCTAAAAGTGTGTGGGGGGCCAATGGTGCCCGAACTGTGGCCCCACCCCCACCCTCCATGCCCCAGAGATCCCACCCTAGCACCACCTTTTCTCCCGAGGTTCCGCTTCTGCGACACCGTCCCCCACTCGCTGTTCTCTGCACCCTGCCCCTGCTCACTCACCCTTTCAGCCAGTAAGAAGTGGGAGGGTCTTGCCCCCCCCCATACTCTGGTGCCTCTGGTTCCATCCCTGGGGTCGCTGGCCCTCTGCGGTGTTGTGACAAGCAGCTTATTATCTGCTCTCAGATAATAAGCTGCTGGGGATCCATGAGTTTACCCCAGGAGACACACGGCACCTCTCCCTGCAGGCACTAGGCTCTCCCACGGGGTCTCATGAACATGTTCCCCATCTGTGAGGATCAGATGTCCTCCCTGCAGAGAAAGGGGCTGGGTGTGACATTATGGGTTGATCTCTTGTGGGAAATGCTGAATGGCGACCTAGCCCACTGATCTCACCCGTTTCCTTCTGATGAGCAGAATCCCTAAGCCCCAAATCAGACCCCATCTGCCACATGGACCAAGAGGAAGAGCCCTGTGTCCTGGACTCTGAGGATTCTTCAGAAAAGAAGACCCCGAGAGGCCCTCAGGCAGGTAAGAGAGCTTAGAAACACTGAAAGGAGTTTCAGTGCAGAGAGCACAATGGGAAGGCCCCTTCTCTCTCCTCCCATGGAAAGGTTGGCAGGAAACAGAAAAACTCAGCAGCTCTGCAGCCAAGTGTCAATTGGGACTTCTCTTCCTCTGCATGGGGTTTGATGAACCTCTCGGTCTAGCAATCAGTTTACAGGTCAGCTTCTGCCGTCTCCCAGGCAGACACTTGAGAGCTGAACATTACTGATATTTGCGGGGAATCAACAGCTCTATCGTTCCTTCCAGCCATCCCTAGACAGGACTCTGACACAATTTCTCCTCCGATGCTCAGTGAGGGGTGAGCTGTCCCTGAGGCCTTTCCTGCAGTTGGGGCATTTGTAGGGCTTCCCTCTTGTATGGAATCACCAATGGATAGTGAGGGTTGAGTTTGCCCGGAGGTTTTTCCTGCACTTGAGCAGATGTACGGTTTCTCTCCTGTGTGGGTTTTCTGTGTTTAGTGAGGGTCATGCTGGTCCTGAAGCTGGTTTTGTACTCTCACCCGTGTGTATTCTCTGGTGGACAATGAGGCTTGAGTGGACACCATAGCTTTTCCTGCAGCAAGGGCACTGGTGGGGTTTCTCCTGTGTGGATTCGGTTGGGTCTGAAGAGGGCTGACCTACTGCTGAAGTTTTTCCCACATTCAACACAAGATTTTCACCTTCCTCGTCTGTGGTGTTTGCTGTCCTGGTGTGTGTCACCTTTCCCCTTAGGAGAGAACTGACCCCATCTGTTCCCTGACTGCTTTTTTTTTTTTTTCTCTGACCTATGCTGGCTCTCACAGACTTTGCCCTTCACCTGCTCAAGACTCTTGGAAACTTTCCCTTTGGATCTCTGTGGTGTAACTAGAGAATTCTCCTCCTCATTCCCTGACTTGTCATCTGTTTGAATGAAAGGGACAAACCAGACATGTCAGTCCCTGTGCTAGGGAGAAAGGAAACCTCAGAGAGGGGAAGAGTAAAAGGGGATTCAGAGGGTGAAAACTAGGAGAACTGTTTGGGAGACTAAAATATGAAGAGTTGAATCCTTCAAACTGCGAGTGCTGCGTGACCTCCCCTCAGAGCTGATCAGTGCCCCATCAACACCCTCGCTGCCCAGCCACTGGGGAGACAACACGGGCCTGGCATGGAACCTAACCGTCAGGGACAGGGACTCTGTTGGGCCGCAAGAAGCCAATTCCAGAATCGGAGCCCTCCATTGCTGAGCACGCCCTGCAGGGAGTCCCCTTCCTAGGTACATCTAGTAGATATGAGCTCTGTTGTCTCAGCTGGCGCAATGGCATGTGGAGAGAGAAGGAGCTCTGAGGAAAGCAGGACCCAAACCATTCAGGGCCTTAGAGATTAACCTGTCACTTGAATTGCCCCAGGAATCAGCTCCTAGCCAGGGCCATTGCTGGGGTGCAGGAATAATGTACTAGCAACAGGGCATCTGGCTGGGCTGCTGCCTTGTGTCCTAGTAGTGGTCCCCGTGGACAGGTCCATGCAGAGTGCACTGTCATGACCCTCTCAGCAGGGGGACCTCAGAGGTCCAGATCCCTGCTGGGTTATCTTTATGGTAACCACCTGCTGGGCTCTGTGCTGTTTGCTCCTGCTGGCACCACAATACAAGGTGAGCTCAGGCCGAGCAAAAAGGGAGCAGCTGGAAATGACAGCAGAGGTACAGGCAGGGCTTCCAAGGAGAGGCCCAGGAGCTGGGATCTGAGGTGGGGGAAAAAAAACAGGGGAGAGGAAGGAGGTTGCAGCTGCCAAGGCAGGCGGTGGAGGAGAAGTGTTTGAGCCCCTGGGCTGGGAGGGAAGGCAGGCTGCTGAGATTCCCAGGCAAGCACTGGCAGCACATGAGGTAGAAAGGCAGAGAGGAGCTGGGTGTGCATCCCAGAGGCGATGTCGCTGCAGCCCAGGCCCCTCTCTCAAATCAGCGTGAATGGCAGGGTCTCTCAGTGAAAAACAAAACACAGAGGATTCCAGACAGCGTCTGTATGTGCAGGTTTTATTTACCAAAATAGAAATAAAGAGGTGCAACAGAGAGATAGTTCAGGGAGAGGGAATAACTAGCTCAGATGGGGTGAAACGTTACCTGAAATGGGCAACGGGCATCAAAGAATCAATCCCATTCCCCAGTGAGCAGAGTGGCCTCACAGCGGGACCCCTCACTGAGCCCTACTCCACTTGTTTAGGAAGGACAAAGATCTGGACTGTCAGTGACCCATACTAGTCACTCTAATTTTAGACATTCTGAAGAATTGGAATAAATTACTGTTAAATACCCCAATGATTTCCCCAGAGATAAGTCACACATTCCTTTCCCAACACCCACTCATCCACTTCTTGTTGCAAACCCCAAATACACATAGGAAATGACTGGTCTCTAATTTCTGTCGAAGATGCCCAGTGAGGAACCCCCCCGCCCTGTAATTCTTGAGTTACCAGGGTGCTCTGAGGTCATTTTAACCCAACATCAGAAATTGACCCTTAGGGGCTGCGACTCTGCACTGACCGACTGAAGTGCCCGAGTGCTGGTCTCAGAGCTGCTGGTGGCTCACGGGGCAGGAAGTTCATTGCAGACAGTAACCATGATCCTGGTACACAAAACCTTGTTCCTTTCCTTCGAGCTGGTGTTCCTCTTTGCAGCAATGAGCTCTGGCCAACTAGTGCAGAGTTGTCCAGTCTCAGCACTTGATCACTTGCTAATTCAGTCATCTGCAACCCGTTCCCTGCCCATTCTTCCTCTCGTAGTCCCCCGAACATTTGATCTCCCTGGTTTTCTCCCAAAGTCTGCAAGGGAAGGGCCTCTGGGGCATCCACCCCACATGAACGCCAGTAAGTGGGGGAGGCGCAGCCTACGTCCCAGAGGATGGTGCAGAGACAGGTCTCTGCCCTGAGAAAGGTGGCTTAGCTCAAGAAATTGGTTACTGGAAAGGTATTTGAGTCCAGGGAGATGAGTGTCTAGGGGAGTTGGGTTCTTCTTTCCCTGATCACCACCTGGCTGGCAAGTGGCAGAGGGGCCTGGCAGCACAGCAATGAGGAAAAACTGATTGGGGCTTCTCCGCTGCCTGTGGTTTGCTACAGGAGGCAGAGCCAGAGATTCACTGAGCAGCCTGGAGGCACCTGCAGCTGCCCCCTGATCCCAGCAATAGGCAGCTGGATACTCAAGGAATTGGGAAATGCAGCATTCACTCCACCCCAGCCAGGTAATTTACAGCGTCTGTCCATCAGGTGGAGTTTCTGGTGTCTAATAAGGTGTGGGCTCTGATTGAAGCTTTTCTCGCATTCATCGCACTTGTATGGTCTCTCTCCCGTGTGGATCCGCTCATGTACAACCAGGTGCGAGCTCCGACCGAAACCTTTCCCGCAGTCGGGGCATTTAAAGGGTCTCTCCCCTGTGTGGGTTCTCTGGTGTCTAATGAGGTGCGAGATGCAACTGAAGATTTTCCCGCAGTCTATGCATATTTTCTGCGTCTCTCCGGTCTGCTGAACTGTGGTTTTGTTGCTGTCTCTGGAACCACCCTCATGGGAAGTGGATTTACTTTGTCCCTTCCCTGAGTCCTTTTCCTTTTGCCTCTTTGATCCATTCTGACTCCCACCAATTTCTCCCTGTGCAGGAACATTTCCTGCGGATCCTCCCAATACCTTCCCACACAATTTCACTTGCGCAGGCCCTTCCTGCTGAGGATTCTCCTCCTCATTCTTACACGACATCTCGTCACCTGCTGGGATAAGGAGAGAATCCAGACCGGAGTCAGTCCCTGTGCCGGGGGAAAGCAAAACTCAGAAACAAACCAAAATAGCTATTGGGGAAATTGAAATATTAGGGTCCAAATCCCCCTAAACCCTTCCCCCGCTAAGGGAAGAGTGAACCGACTCCACTCTCATATCCCAGGTGAACACTCCAGGGGAAGGAACTACTGCCAGGTGTCAGTTAGAAGGGTGGGAATGACAGCGGACAACTTGCTGGCTAGCCTCCTGATCTGGTTCATAATGAGGCAAAACTGGAGAAGTTCAGAGGGCCTAAGTGGGAATCCCAGCTGTTTCCTTCGCAGATGGACAGTTTACAGGTCAGTTGAACCAAATCCTCACCTGTGCAGGCACCTCTCCGGATCCCCCTTTCCTCCGAGCCCTGGAGATCTGGGACCCATGTCTCTTCCCCTTGTTCCAGCTGACAGATCAAGTCAGGTCTGGACATCAGAAATCCTGCTCCAGGGAAAATTAACCTTGTAAGAGGAGGGTTAATTACACATTTGGGTAACAAAGGTTCAAATGTAGCGTTCTAGCGCAGTTAAAACAGTATAATTCCAGAGCCATCTTTTCAAAGCCACAGGACACTGCTAACAAATACAGTCTAATATTCAGAGGAGGTTCCTTTTTAATACCCCACCAACCAGGAATCCCCTCTAGGGTCTCCCTCCACTGCTACCCAGCCTTCCCCCATATCCATATGGGCTGGGGAAGCGTAATTAACAGACTTTTGGGCTCCTGCAAACCATGATTGGTTATTGCAATTATTCTGAGCCATGAGCAATTAGTGAGGGACCCGAATTGAAAGGGTGCAGGGCTCTAACAGAGCATGTCCGGCCGCCAGCCCCACCTCTTGTACCAAAGCGCCCCTCACAGCCTGCAATCATGGCTCTATGGCACAAGGGGGGGGCACCCAAGATTATCTATTGCTGTAAACAAAGCCAGCGAGAGACTCCTCAAAAGAGGTTCCTAAAAGACAAGAGAGGGCAGCTCTGTGTCCCAGAGAGCAGAGACTCCACCCACGATCCCCTTCTCACTGACAGTGAGGGCCCTGGGGAGAGTCAGAGGGAAGATGGGACCAGTGTGCACAAGCGAGCAGGATTCAGTGCCTTAAGGGGTGGGAGGGAGCAGCGGTGTCACTGAATGCAGCAGTTCCGGGGTAAGAAGAGGTCAGGCAAGAACGCTGGAGTAGGTAGGGAACCTGGTGAGTCAGAAGGAGTATTAAAATCCGGCAGGGTGCGGAGAAGGCCTGGGAGTTAGTGTGCACTGTAATTATAGCTGCTAAATCCTCGGTTAATGACTTGGATTGCTGTAGTACCTAGAGACCTCAGCAAGGCCCAGGGCCCCTTTATGCTTGGCACTGCACAGACAAAGACAGTCCTGCCCTAGAGAATGTAAAGTCCAGGTAGAAAGGGAGCTGTGGGGCTGATCCCACTGAAATCTAAGGGACCGGGAAGAACTGTGAGCAGAGGTCAATTCAGGCAATGCAAAGTTCAAATTTCAACACGCCTAGGAGACAGGAATCCTTACCCAGTGAGGTCACGTTCTCATAGTTCTCCTGCATGACATCCCTGTAGAGGGCTCGCTGACCCAGGTCCAGCAGAGCCCATTCCCCCTCAGAGAAATACACAGCCACCTCCTCGAAGGTCACCGGCATCTGTATCAACAACAAGAGTTCCCCGCTCACAACCTGCTGCCCCAGCCAGAGTCCCACCAGCTCAGTCACAGGTAGAGCTGGAAAAATCCACCTCGGCCCCAGAGAGCAGAGCCCTTTCCCTGCCAAGCGAGAGGCACAGCTGCAGAATTAAAGCTCTCGTTTCAGAGGGAAGCGAAGCTCCCAGCCTGTCCGGCTGAGAGGAGGATTATGAAGGGGGGTCAGATGCTGCCGTGTTTCCGCCCAGGAGACAGCCGGCTTTGGCCCCTCTGTGCTGCTCAGAGCTTCCCTAGTAGCAGCAGAAAGCTAAAGAGAACTTTGTTCGTTGCAGAGTTGTTCTGCAGAGCCTGAGAAACTCACTAGCATCATTTGAATTTCTACCTGTGCCTGCTACTGGTCCAATAGATCAGATTTCTATCTGTGCCTGCTATTGCAACCCGCTGGGCCAATACATTAGATACACTCCTCTGGCAGCTGGCCCTCAAAAATGCAATAGGCTACTGCCCTCAAAAGCTAATGGAGTTACTTTAGCTCAAGCGGCAGAGATCTGCATGTGGTGTGGGAGTTTACCGGGTCCACCACACAGACACACACCGTAGCAAGAGACGGATATGAAAATGGAATTAAAACCTTGCTCAAGGAGCCACACAAGCACCGTGGCATACATGGGAACATCCGGCACTGCCCTCACCAGTGCAACAGGGTTCCCGAAAACAGACAGGGCTTCAGAGAGCCAGGGCATCATGACGATGAATGCTCTTCCCAGCCAGTCTGGAAGATAAGAAATGATTTGGCCTGTGTCCCCAGATGCTGCTGTGCTGCTTTTCCCAGTCTGCCGACAGGCAGCTCCAGAGTAATTGCTGCTGGCCAGTTCCAGGCTGCCCTTCAGAGCTGTGAGCATCTGAGAAACGCATCAGAAACGCTCTGCTGTTGCTGCTGCCCACTGTGAAACTCCAAGCAGGAGCAGAAGCTACACGAGAGTTATTCATGGGGGAGGGGGGGGAGGAAGAAACACCCCAGAACTGAAAGGGAAGGGATTGGATAGCAGAGTTCCCCATGCAGACTGCTTCAGACCTCATCGTGTGGCTACTAGACAAGAGACAGATCCTGGAAATGGAGCCCATGAGTACTGTCCATGGACAGCTTCCCAGGAGGAATTCCAGCAGCTGAACATCGGAAGAAGGGTTGGTTGCCCCCTTTCCTCTTTGTATCAACCTCTGGCTAGGAAGCTCAGGGCTGTGGCTAGCAGGAGTCAGATACGTTCTTCAGTGCCTGGACACGCAGCTTGATTCCTGGTCCACAGACGGGGGAATTCCCCCTATTCTCTAGAGTCCCAGCAGGTTTGTCACACTCTATCCCCACCTCCCACTCCCAGCTCCTGTGTATGCCCTGCTCCCTCCCCATCCAGCACAAACCCTGCAGCAGCTCCCTGAAAAATCCCCTACCTGAATACGCTGTGCTAAAGCCATTTCGTTTCTGGGATGACGTGGCTGGACTGGACGGATGTTATTCTGCAGCCTGCCAGGGAGAGAGGTGATTGGGGAGGCGTCAGAGTGGGTTTTAGTCCACTTCACACCTTGACTCCCCCCAGGTTTGTCTCCTGCACACAGAGGTTCTGACTCTGCAAAGCTGGGAAAGTCCATAGTCACTTTATTACAGCACAGACCCGGCCCCTCCTAGCAGGACTGAGACATCTTTAAACCTCCCAGTATCCAAGTCTGTGAACCAAATGCTAGAAATGAGCCGAATCAAAGGAGATGCTTGTTTTGGAGGATTCCTGAGGGCACCATGTTCCCTCAGCAGGCAGGGGGCGCAGGCAGAGGCAAGAACTGCTTTTTTCCTCTCTCCTTGTCCCCAGGAAAGTCAGTCTGCCCAGGGGTGCTGCAGTGAATGGAGCTGGGCAGGTTTGGGAGCTGGGAGTCTCCCTCTCCATTTATTCCTCCTGCTGCCCCTTCCCATCACGCCCCCCCCACCACCCCCCCACAGAGCTCAGATTTTACACCCAGCTGGAAACGTTGCCATTATGCCCATGGTTTTTGCTTCTCTTTCAAAACACCATGCCAAGGAAGGCGTGAATTCTGGCCTGTGAGTTCTTGCAACAATTTCTGGTTTTTTAGCCTTGCAAAACTGCCAGCCTGGACGAAGGCAAGGGACAGATGGGGAGGCAGCTTTTGAAGGATGAAAGGGAAATCTTACAGAAATTGCATCCTATGGTTTCCAAAAATATCCAATCTTGATTTAAAAATTAGTAATTTTTTCCACTGGTTAATAATCCTCAGTGTTAAACCATTGCACCTTATTTCTTGTCTGCATTTGGCTTCAACTTCCAGACAGAACTTGTTTATGCCTTTGTTCGCCAGAATGAAGAGCCCTCCTGTATCACATTTCTGTTGTCCACGTAGGTACCTATAGACTATGAGTAAGACACCCCTTAAACTTCCCTTTGCAAAGCAAAATCGACCCCAGAAGCTCACTCTGTCCCTGTACAGCTTGTTTTCCAGTCCTTTAATCATTGTCTGAACACAATAGTGTGCAGCAATGGTCATGCCACAGCCAAATACAGAGGAAACATAACTTCCCTATTCTTCCTGGATATTCCCGTTTGTGCATCCAAGGATCACATCAGCCCTTTTGGCCACAGCTTTGCCCTGGGAGCTCAGGTTCAGCTGATTATCCACCAGTCCCACAAGTCTTTTTTCAGAGTCCCTGCTTCCCACGAGACAGCACACCATCCTGCAAGTGTGGCCTACATTAAGGCTTGATTCGAACGATTTATTTACACTAATAAAATGCTGTTGGGAAGGGTGATGTACTCACAGTATGGCCCGTTTTGGATGAAATCTGAAAGGCCTCTCTCTTCCCAGAAAAAGATTTTTTTTAAAAAAAGATCACATATCATGAGAGCATCAAATAGAGACCTAGTTAATGAAACAGTGGTGTTGTAGCTGTGTCGGTCCCAGGATAGTAGAGAGACAAGGTGGGGGAGGGAATATCTTTTATTGGACCAACTTCTGTTGGGGAGAGAGATAAGCTTTCGGGGCTCACCCAGAGCTCTGCTCCAGGTCTGGGAAACTTACTCACAGCTAAATACAAGATAGAGCTAGGGTGACCAGACTGCAAGGGTGACAAATCAGGATGGGGGTTTGGGGTAATAGGCGTCTATATAAGACAAGGCCCCAAATATTGGGACTGTCCCTATAAAATTGGGAGCTCAGGTCACCCTAGATAGAGTAGGCTGTTCTGTACGTAGTTCTGTGTATATCTGTATAGGTGTTAACTACTTACATGAAACAATCCCTTCCACCTTGTATTTAGCTGTGATGCTCTGAGTTCATTCCCAACCCTGAAGAAGAGCTTCTGGTGATCCCGAAACCTTGTCTCTCTCTCTCTCACCCCCGCCTTGGCTGCACAAATATTTCTCCAGGAGCCTCTTGTCCCACAGACATCTAGAGCCCGTGAGAGTCACTTTGCGCAGATGACAAATGCGGGGGGGGGGGTTTCGGGGGCCCTGAGCCTTCCCAGGGATCTAACCCATTCGTTACAGGGAAGGGGATTGGTGTGGAAATGTTCATACGAACACACCCAGGCCAAGTCACTTTAGGCCTGACACGTTTGACGCAGCGAACCTATCCCTCTCTGCACTGGGATTCTGGGGAGATTTACCCACCCCTGCGGAGAGAAGTGGCCCCTCCTGGCTTGTCTAAGGGGCTAGATTATTAAAATACAGAACCCCCAAGGCTCCCCCTCTCCCTGGTATTTCTCTCACCCAGCAGCTTCCCAGGGGCTGCGAGATCTGAGCCTCCCTGGGCTGTTTGCGCAGAGTCACTTTCCTGCCCGGCCCCAGCCCTTTCCCCGGGTCTCTCCCCTCACCTGCAGGCTCCGGCTCCGGGGCTGGTGTCGGCAGAGGCCGGGGCTGCCCCAGGGGCTGGTTCCAGCCCCCGCAGAAAGTCCGCCCGGCTGGGCCCAGAGCGGCGTTAATGCAGGGCTCTCCTCGCACAGAGCCCTTTGCAGCAGTTGCTCAGCCCCGGCTCCCAGTCACAACAAGGGAAGGAAGCAGCAGCAACAACTGACCTAGGAAGTTCAGCAGAGACAGAAAGCAAGAAATTGAGTCCAGCTTCCCCTCTTTTAACCGTGGGCCCTCTGGTGGTAGCAACAAACAAAACGAACCAGAGCGAGAGGTGTCAAGCCTCCAGCATTGCCCTGGAGTCTCCCCTCAGGACCTGAAGAGTCATCATTCAGTAAAGATTATGTCATGTGATTAAACCTCCTGGAATAGTCCAAACAAAAGGGCAGCCCTAAACAAGACAGAGACAGGCACAGAACTGGTCTACACACAGAAATCGCACTGACTTAACTCTAGACAAGGGAAATTAGAGGGGAAATTAAAGCCAGTTAGCTACAGGTGTGAATTTAAAGCACATTAAACCCCTTTATGACTATGGTCATTCACAGAGAAGGATGCTATATTTACTTCTTGTGCAGACAAGTTCTACATTGATTTCCAAATAGGTTTAGGCCAGGGCTTGTCTCTATGGGGAAGCTTTGCATAGATTCATCCATTACATGGCCAGGAGGGACAATTGTGCTTACCTATTCCCACCTCCTCTATAACACAAGCCATAGAACTTCCTTGAATTAATTCCTGCTTGAACTAGTTCATATGGTTCCCAAAAATATCCAATCTTGATTTAAAAATTAGTAACTTTTTCCACTGGTTAATAATCCTTAGTGTTAAACAATTGCACCTTATTTCTTGTCTGCATTTGGCTTCAACTTCCAAACATTAGAACTTGCTTATGCCTTTGTTCGCCAGAATGAAGAACCCTCCTGTATCACATTTCTGTTGTCCACGTAGGTACCTATAGACTATAAGCAAGACACCCCTTAACCTTCCCTTTGCAAAGTAAAATCGACCCCAGGAGCTCACTCTGTCCCTGTAGTTTGTTTTCCAGTCCTTTAATCATTGTCTGAACACAATAGTGTGCAGCAATGGTCATGCCACAGCCAAATATAGAGGTAACATAACCTCCCTATTCTTCCTGGATATTCCCATTTATGCATCCAATGATCACATTAGCTCTTTTGCCCACAGCATTGCCCTGGGAACACAGGTTCAGCTGTTTGTCCACCAGTCCCACAAGTCTTTTTTCAGAGTTCCTGCTTTCCACGAGACAGCGCCCCATCCTGCAAGTGTGGCCTACAGTTTTTGGTTCTAGATTCATAACTCTGCATTTGGCCATATTAAACCATAAATTGTTTGCTTGTGCCCAGCTCACCAAGTGACTCAGACTGCTCTCTGTCAGCAACCTGTCCTCTTCGTGATTCCCTCCCACCCTTTGCAATCTGCAAACTTTATGGGTGATACTTTTTGGTTTTCTTCCAGCTTGCTGATGAAAATGTGAAGTAGGTAGGGCCAAGAGCTGATCCCTTCAGGGTCCCCCTATACACACACCTGCTCACTGATGGTTTCCCATTTACAATTCTGAAACCTGTCCGTTAGCCAGTTTTTAATTCATTTGTTTTGTGTCATATAGTTTTGTTTTAATCATTCCAGTTTCTATTGCAAAGTAAGCCTGGGTGTGAATTTAATGGATGATTGCTATTTCACAAGCAATGGTCTCAAGTTGCAGTGGGGGAGGTCTAGGATGGATATTAAGAAACACTATTTCACTAGGAGGGTGGTGAAGCACTGGAATGGGTTACCCAGGGAGGTGGTGGAATCTCCGTCCTTAGAGGTTTTTAAGGCCTGGCTTGACAAAGCCCTGGCTGGGATGATTTAGTTGGTGTTTGTCCTGCTTCGAGCAGGGGGTTGGACTAGATGACCTCTTGAGGTATCTTCCAACCCTACCATTCTATGATTAACTCCCCATGTGGTTAACAATGAAATTGTCAACACAGAGAGCTATTACAGAGTAACTATTCCCCACTGTTTCACCCATGAACAAGCCCTTAGTTTATATTAGTGCAACCCCCTTTGTAATCTGTAGCAATTTAGCTGTGTGTAAACTAAGCCAGAGAGAAATATGATGCAGGGCTCCCAGCAGCCTTTCTTTGGCTAGGTTCTCATGTCCCTTTTATTGTCAGGATTCTCCAGACAACCCCCATCCCATTGGACTCCCACCTCCAGGAAGCTCCTTATATCCATCCCCTCCCACCACAATCCCAGGACAGCTGGGTTCTCAAGGTTCCCATTAAGGAGCTGTCAGCCTGGCTGGCAGGCAGGCAGGTCCTGCATGGGGAGATTTTCTCATCATGTTTCTGGGCGTGCCCAAGACTAGTGTAGATCCAGAGCTGGAGAAGTGTGAGATGAGAGATGTGGCTGGGGGGGAAAGGGTAGAGCTCTTTCCCCTTGAGATTAAGTTAGAGGGACAGTGGAACAGCTGGGAATAGAACCTAGGAGTCCTGCCTCCCAGTCACCCCCTGGCGGCCTGAGAATGAAGTTATTTGTCTCCCATCCAGGCTGAGAAGTGGTTTCCTCAGCTAGGGCCTGACTGACTGAATGTCACATACACCCTGCAAGGATCCTCAAGGATATGCCCCTTTGGCCCCCTGAAAAATCCCTGGCCAGTCCCTTCACACACAGTAAGTAGGCAGCTGCCTTTGCAGTTCCCAAGTGTAGACCATACAGCACTGGAGTGGAACTGGCAGGAGGCACTCAAGGGCTGGGGGCCTGCAGTGAGTACCTCGGGGTCTCTGCCCTGCTTAGTCTTGCCGCAACACTGTCACAAGGGAACAAAGAGCAGTAGGATGTGAAAACTGGGGTACAAACAGGACCAAGAACTGGAATTTGAGGTTAGGGGAAGGGAAGGCAGTGAGAAGAGGCTGCAGCAGTCAAGGTAGGAAGTGGCAAAGGTGTGGAGGAGTATTTTAGGCCCAGAAGTGTGTGTGTGTGGAGGGGGGGAGAGGTTGGGGTGGTCTGAGAGGTGGGGGAAGCATAGGCACGATGAAAGAAAAGCCAGCACGTGAGAGGAGAAGAGGAGCTGGGTGTCACTGTAATGAGAGCAGCAGAGTATACAAGTGGAGAGGAGGAATGGGGGGGGGGGGGAAATAGATGGCAAACAGTTTCTAAATACGCAAATTTTATGCACCCCAAGAGGCATGACGAAACGTGATCTCAGGACTGTTCTGGGAGAGGGAACAAAGGGTTCACCTGAAAGAGGCTCCGTACAGCAAAGAAACAATAACCTCATTTACCACATCCCATCACCAGCATGTTCTCACAGCCACAGCTTCTCTGCAGCCTAGTCAGCAAAAGCTGTAGTCCTCCAAGAGGACAATGAGAAGTTCTGACCGGCAGGGAGTATGACCAACAGCCATTCTGAAAATAGATATTCAGAGGAATCAGAATAATTGTTCTTATTGAAATAACTTATATTTATTTCAGAGGAAATACCTAAGCCAAAGTCCTCCCCTCCCACCCTCTGCAGATTTCATTTGTTGCAAATCCAAAGTACACCCAGAGAAGGACTTTAAAGTTGATCTCCAATTTCTCTGGAAGATTCCCAGTTAGGTAGAGCCCCAGGTTATTCATAAGTTACCCTTTTAGTTCATTGTGCTCTGATGTGGTCTCAACTGAACATCAGAAACAGCAAACTGGTCAGGGCTGCAACTCTGAATTCGGAGAGAAGAGTCTATTTGACAGCTTCAGGGGTTGTCCGATCACTGCAGACTAACTGCAGTCCCTGTGCTGCCTGGCACAAAGTACCTTCCCTTGTGCTCTTCATGCCGCCCACAGTTTCTCTCTGCAATAAAGAGCTATAACCAACTAGCGTAGAGTGTTTTCCAGTCTCAGCCCCTTATCATTGGCCGATTCAAATCCCTCTGCCCACCTACTATCTTCCTTTTGCTCAAAAACATTGTTTCCTCTACACTTCATCCCTCTTATCACTTGGAAGTGATAGCGGAGGAGAATGACCTGGGTGTATTGGTTGATCACAGAATGACTATGACCCATCAATGTGACATGGAAAAGGCTAATGCAGTCCTAGGATGCCCCACGTGAGGTATTTCCAGTAGAGACAGGAAAGTGTTTGTACCCTTATACAAGACACTGGCGAGACTTCATCTGGAATTCTGTGTGCTATTCTGGTTTCCCATGTTTAAGAAAGATGAATTCAAACTGGACCAGGTGCAGACAAGGGCAGCTAGGATGATCTGAGGAATGGAAAACCTACCTTATAAGAAGAGATTCAGAGAGCATGGCTTGTTTAGCCTAACCCAATGAAGGCTGAGGGGAGATATGATTGCTTTCTATAAATACATCAGAGGGCTAAACACCAGGGAGGGAGAGGAGTTATTTAAGTTAAGCACCAATGTGGACAGAAGAACAAATAGATATAAACTGGCCATCAACAAATTTAGGCTTGAAATTAGATGAAGGCTTCTAACCACCAGAGGAGTGAAGTTCTCAAACAGCCTTCCAAGTGGGGGCAAAAACCTTACTGGCTTCAAGACTGAGCTTGATAAGTTTATGGAGGGGATGCCTACAATGGTGCATCACTGATCTGTGACTGCTAGCAGCAAACATCTCCAACAGCCAGTGATAGGACACTAGATGGGGAGGACGGACTTATTTCAGAGAATTCTTCCCCAGGTGTCTGGCTGGTGGGTCTTGCCCACATGCTCAGGGTCAAACTGACTGCCCTATTTAGAGTCAGAAAGGAATTTCCCCCTGGGATCAGATTGGCAGAGACCCTGCAAGGGCTTTGCCTTCCTCTGCAGCATGGGGCATGGGTCACTTGCAGATTTAAACTCATGTAAATGGTGGATTCTCTGTAACTTGAAGGATTGAAGAATGATTTGAGGACTGCAGTAACTCAGCCAGAGGTTAGGGGACTGTTAGAGGGGTGGTTCTGTGGCCTGCAATATTCAGGAGGTCAGACTAAGTGATCATGATGGTCCCTTCTGACCTTAAATCCCCAGCATTTGATCTCCCTGGTTTCCTCCCAAAGTCTGCAAGGGAAAGGCCTCTGGGACACCCACCCCACCCCACCAGAAATAGCTCCAATAAGGGAGAGGGGGCAGCCTAAGACCCAGTAGAGGGTGTAGAGACAGGTCTCTGGTGTGAGAAAGGTGGCTTAGTTCAAGGAATTGGTTAGTAGAAAGGGATTTGAGTCCAGGGAGAGGAGTTGCTAGGGGAGCTGGGTTCTTCTTTCCTCTACCCGCACCTGGCTGGCAGTGCAGCAATGAGGAAAAACTGATCGGGGCTTCTCCACAGCCTGGGGTTTACTACTGGAGGCAGAGCCAGAGATTCACTGAGCAGACCAGAGGCACCTGCAACTGCCCCCTGACCCCAGAAAGAGGTAGCTGGATACTCAAGGAATTGGGAAATACGGTATTTGCTCTAGCCAACAGAGGGAATTTAGAGAGTTTCTTCTTCCTATGGCGTCTCTGATGTCCAACGAGGCGCGTGCTGCTATTGAAGCTTTTCTCACATTCATCGCACTTGAAGGGTCTCTGGCCCGTGTGGATCCTCTCATGTACAATCAGGTGCGAGCTCTGACCGAAGCTTTTCCCACAGACAGGGCATTCATAGGGTCTCTCCCCCGTGTGGGTTCTCTGGTGTCTAGTGAGGTGTGAGTTGCAGCTGAAGATTTTCCCGCAGTACTGGCATATTTTCGGTGTCTCTCCGGGCTGCTGGACTGTGGTTTTGTGAACGTCTCTGGAACCACCCTCATGGGGAGTGGATTTGCTCTGTCCCTTCCCTGCATGGTTTTCCTTCTTCCCCTTTGATCCAAGCTGACTCCCACCAGCTTCTCCCTGTGCAGGAGCATCCACTGTGGATCCTCCCAGTAGCATTCCATGCAACTCCACTTGTTTATGAGCTTTCTGCAGGGAATTCTCCTCCTCATTCTCACTCACCATCCAGTCACCTGCTGGAACAGGGAGAGAATCCAGACAGGAGTCATTTCCAATGCCAAGGAAAGGGTGAAACAAGCCTAAATAGCTGCTGGGAAATTGAAATATTATGGTGCAAATCTCACTAAACCCATCCCCTGATGAGATGGAAAAATGGGACCAATTCTGCATTCGCATCCCATCAGAACATTCAGCTGAGAGTGAGCAACTGCCAGGTGTCAGGATGGGTGGGAAGCCATGCGATATGTATCCTCATGGCAGACAACACCTGCTGGGCACAGCCTTGACCTGGGTGAGATAAGGGAAAACTGGGGAAGCTCCTGGCCTCTGTTGGAGTCCCAGCTTTTTCTTGCCAGATGGATGCTTTATAGGTCAGTTTAAGCAAATCCTCACCTATGCGGGCACCTTTTAGGATCCTGCTTTCCTCAGAGTCCTGGAGATCTGGGACCCAAGGCTCTTCCCCTTGTTCCAGCTGTGAGATCATGTCAGGTTTGGAAATCAGAAATCCTGCTCCAGGGAAGATAGGTGAATTATCATTGTGGGTAACAAAGATTCAAATGTACATTCTAGCCCATTCAAAACAGTAAAATCCTTCTGATGGTCCTTCCAAGCCACAGGACACCCAGTGGACCCACCCACTGGACACCTCCTCCATTAGCAATCTCTGCTTTGAGCAAATACAGCCAAATCTCAGAAAGAGGGGGTTCCTATTTAATAATCTACCAACCAGGACAGAATCCCTTCCAGAGTTTCCCTCCACTATAACCTGCCTGACTCCTTATGGGCTGTGGACAAATCATGGGCCTTGCAGGGTATTGCAAACTAATGGGGGGAGGTGGGGGAGAGAGTTCCAAAGGTGGAGGGTTCCAACAGAGAATACTCTGCCAGCAGCTCTCTCTTGTACCAAAGGAGCTCCAGTTTAGGCACCCCACTGCCTGCAGTCCTGGCTCTATATCCCAGGGAGAGCAGTCTCTCTTAGGGAGGCAGGTCCCTGGACATCTCTGCTCGGATCAAGTCTTCAAGCCAGACATGCATCAAAAGAGGTTCACAAAATGCCGAGAAGGCAGCTTTATGTCTTGGAAAGAGGAGATTCCAGCCACAGGGGAAGGCAGCCTGTAGCCACTTTTGACTGACAGAGATAGGCTCAGAGATAGTGAGAAAGTCCTAGGGAAGTCAGGACCAAGGCGCATGAGCTAGTGGGATTCAGCACAGTAAGGAAGAGAAGGGAGCGGAATGCAGCCGTTCAGGGGGATTAGATGTCAGAAAAAGCACATTCATGGAATTCAGATCTCCAGTGAGTGCAGGGGCAGTGGGAGGCAGTTCTGGAGAAAGCTGGGGCATTAGTCTGCTCCCCGATGACAGCTTCTAAATATTAAGGTCTTGCAGCAGCAAGACCGTAGTTAAGGTTGCATCAGAATTTTCTGTTTGACAGGGTCTGTACCTCAGTGTCGCATCTTTATTGTAAGCATGCCATAGGGAGTTTGAACAATTAATGTATGGAACCATCTCCACTGTGTATTTTGTATTTTCATGTTGGAGGTGGAGTGGGGTGAAGTGAATGACATTTGGGAAAACTGGAACACCAGAAAAGCCCGTTCCTCCCCCCAGTGCACATTTGCTGCCCAAGTCACTAGGGTCCTGGTTGTCATGAGAGTAGCTGTCGTGGCAAACTGTGTTACCTCTGATGACCATAACTTCATTACAAAGAAGGGTCCCAGGAGGAGCTGTAATGAAAGCACACTGGCTCTGGATGAGTTCCCGCCATGACACTTGGGGTAAGTTACACTGTTTCTTTCCAAAGGGTAATTGTTTGTTACTCTCCTCAACAAGAGAGTTACATGAAAGTAAGATACAAAAATTACAGCTTTTTTCCCCCAATGTACATTGTTCACATCAATGGTTCTCAACCTCTGTGGCTCTCTATGAGTTACGTGGGCCACATCCACACTATATATATATATACACACACACACACACACACACCTGTATAGCCCTGAGGATGGCACATGGTCTACAGCTGTGTGCTGACTGGGCCGCAGGTTGAAAACCACTAGCTTACATGCTTCTTACCAACTGGGGGCTATGGCTTTCTGAATAGTTACCTCTTAATTTCCTACTTTCTTACAGAGAGGGGTTCCTACTCAGTTTTCTGTTTTTGTTTTGAGGTAAGTCATTTAGAAGTTGCAGTAAAACAAAATACTGAGTATGGTTTAATTTAGTTACTTTCAATATATTGCTCCACATGGCACTGAGTGATGAAACATGGAGCTCCACAAAGGTAATGCCAATACCTTGAAGGCAATAAATGTGTACGTTCATTATAATTTAAATTGCACATAAGTAGGCTTGGCCGAATTTGATTTTTTTTTTTTTAAATAATTTCAGAGGATAATATCACTGTTTATTTTTAAGCATATATTTTTCAATTTTTATCAATTTAAATTTCCACAGTTGCCAGAAATTGTGTGGGCAACAGACAAATAATGACAGTAAATACAGAGATTCAAAAAGTTAAAGCTGTATACCTGCTAAAACAAATGGTGTGTCAAAATACGAGACTTTCAGGGTTTGCAAGCAGCCTTTTTCTTACTTTGCCTATCTCCTATTGATTTTTTTTTTTTTTTTTTTTGGTCAGTTTGCGTGCACAGGGAAAACAACATTTGCCAGCATTTACTGGTAAAAATCTCATCCTTCCAAGCCTACACTTTAAAAAAATAGAAAGAAAATCTTAAACTAAGTCTATGTATTTTTTTAATTTTCTTAACATTAGTGAAGGTTGCTCACATCAATAAATTAAAGCATAACAATTTAGGAAATACAAAAATTAAGGATTAAAAGAATCAAAAAAGTTGTGAAGTCAAGCACTCAAGTCAGAAAGTGCCAAGAATGAGCAATGCCCATGCAACCTTAATTTGCCCCCCTTGTGCATGTGCATTATGATAATATAGGATCACGTAACTAAAGACTAACTTATTTATTTACCAAGGCCCCCTGGTTCATTTGATGCACAGGCCAGTTCTGCTCTGGGAATGAATCTCAGGTTTTGTAGGGAAGGAGTGTTGTCTGCCTCATTTACTGCAGAAGCTAGAAGATTTGACGTGAATGAGGCAGGGGATGGCAGAAGAGAATGGATGGTTTTGTGATTAGGGTAGTCAAATGCCACCTGAAGATGTGGAGTTCTATCCCTACTCCTGCCACAAAGTTTGTGTGTTGCTGGGCAAGTCACTTTCAAATCTTTTCACTTTTGCATGTTAAAGGCTGTACCATAATGCACATGCACAACGGGCCTGCATTAAGTGGCCCGAATGAACATTGCCCATGCATTTCCTAACATCAGAGCATTTGACTTTGCAACTTTTTGATCCCTAACTTTGTATTGCCTAATCATTTAGTTAACTGATGGAAACAACCTGAACTAACACTGTGCCAAGTTATTTGTGATGTTGTATTGTGGTAAAGTTCCGGAGCCCCAGGTCAGAGAGGAAGGCCCCTTTGCCACAAGCACTGTACAGGCTAAAACCACTGCCCCTGCCCTATAAAATTTAAAGCCTAGGCGGAAAAGGAGAGTCCCTTAGGAGGGGCTGGCTGAAAGATCCAGAGGTTAAGTAAACCCATGCAGGAAAACTGGAGGAAAGCGAACAAGGCTATTCAAGGTCAGACAGGGCTGCAGGAAAGAAAGAATGAGTTCCCACAGCCTGTGATGGGGGAGGTGCTTCTGGCATGTGCAGCATGGGAGCAGGTGTTGGGCCCCTGCATGGAGCCATTGGCTGAACCCTGCTCACTCACTAGGGCTGGAGCAGCTTGTTAGCTCCCTCCTGGATATAAGGGAAGTGGGAGTGGCCTCTGGGGAGAGAGAACTGTGGGGCAGGGGGTCCTGGAGGGAAGCACTGGGAGTGGCCAAACTCTGCGGGAAAGCTCAGGCTAAGGTTTCTGTGTTAAAAATAAAGCCAAACCCAGGAAAGGTGGGATAGGTGAGCTCAGATGCTGGGCTCAGACTCTGCTGAGGTCAGTTTGGGACTCAACCTGTCCACACTGCCAAAAGGATTAAAGGGACCTAGGAGGGATTTTGTGTCAAGTTACTGGGGGAAAGATGCCCTAGTGGGGGAGGAAATTGATACCACAAATGGTCTAGAGGCTGAACTGCTTTAAAGAAATTTGTCTCCAACCAGAGAAATTGAGATGGGGAGCATGAAGAATTGATGAGAAAGGAAGAACCTGGAGAAATTCTGTGGCAAGATGATGCAGTGGGAGGGGGAAAACAGTCTCAGCAGGGGCGGAAGCCCCATCCCTCCAGACATTTAGAACTTAGGCCTGGACGCTGAAATCGATACAACCCTGCCTTTCTCCAAGGTGGAGGGACAGGATGAGACCCAAGGAGGCTTTTCAATCTTCAATCCCCATTAACTCACAGAAGAGTGTGTACGGGACACTCCCCCTCACATGGGTTCTGGGGCTGATCGCACTGACACCTAAGGAACTAGAGAAGATGCCTGAGCAGAAGCCAGCCTGGGTGCTTCAGAGAGACCCCCTCAACCCCCAAGCTTCTGACACCTGAGGGGACGGGAATCCTTACCCAGCAAGGTCACGTTCTCATAGTTCTCCTGCATGACATCCGCATAGAAGGCTCGCTGACTGGAGTCCAGCAGAGCCCATTCCTCCTCAGTGAAATACACAGCCACATCCTCAAAGGTCACCGGCATCTATATCAACAACAACAATCCCCTATTTAAAACTTGCTGTCTCAGCAACAACCCCAACTCAGTCACAGGCAGGGCTCCAGAGAGCAGGACACTTTCCCTGGCAAGCAAGGGGCATTTCTGTAGAATTAAAGCTCTCCATCACAAAGGACAAGAAGTTCCTGGCCTGTCTGGCTCAGAGGAGGATTTCAAATGGGGCCCGGATGCTGCCGCATTTTCTCCCAATAGACAGGCAGTTTTGGCCCCTCTGTGCTGCTCAGAGCTTCCCCGGTAGCAACAGAACAAAACCTCATCCGTTTCAGAGTCGTTCTACAGAGCCTGGGAGCAGCTAAGAAACTCACCAGCGACACATGAATTTCTGTTTGTTCCTGCTATTCTGTTCAATACATGAGATACACCCTTCTAGTGGCTGGTCTGCAAGAAGGTAATAGTCTACTACTGCCACTACTTAGTGGCTGACCCATGAGAAGATAGCAGACTATTACTGCCCCAGCAAACGGCATTACTTCTTTAGCTCAAGTGGTAGAAGTCCACGCTGTGGTTTACCAAACCCACACGCATCCTAGCGAAAGGTGGACCTGAAAGTAGCTTAAGAACGTAAGAACGGCCATACTGGGTCAGACCAAAGGTCCATCTAGCCCAGTATCCTGTCTTCCAACAGTGGCCAATGCCAGGTGCCCCAGAGGGAATGAACAGAACAGGTAATCATCCAGTGATCCATCCCTTGTCGCCCATTCCCACCTTCTGGCAAACAGAGGCTAGGGACACTTGAAAGCATGGTTTTGCACCCCTGCCCATCCTGGCTAATAGACATTGATAGTCCTATCCTCCATGAACTTATCTAGTTCTTTTTTTAACCCTGTTATAGTCTTGGCCTTCACAACATCCTCTGGCAAAGAGTTCCACAGACTGACTGTGCGTGGTGTGAAAAAAATACTTTCTTTTATTTGTTTTAAACCTGCTGCCTATTAATTTCATTTGGTGACCCCTAGTTTTTGTGTTATGAGGCGTAAATAACACTTCCTTATTTACTTTCTCCACACCAATCATGATTTTAGAGACTTCTATCATATCCCCCCTTAGTCATCTCTTTTCCAAGCTTAAAAGTCCCAGTCTTATTAATCTCTCCTTATACTTGTTGCCCTTTTCTGAACCTTTTCCAACTCCAATTAATCTTTTTTGAGATGGGGCAACCATATCTGCACACAGTATTCAAGATGTGGAACTACCATGGATTTATATAGAGGCAATATGATATTTTCTGACTCATCATCTACCCCTTTCTTAATGATTCCCAACATTCTGTTCGCTTTTTTTTGACTGCCACTGCAGATTGAGTGGATATTTTCAGAGAACTATCCACAGTGACTCCAAGATCTCTTTCTTGAGTGGTAAGAGTTGTATATGTATAGTTGGGATTATGTTTTCCAATGTGCATTACTCTGCATTTATCAATATATTTAGTGTAATTAAAAATCTTGTTAAAGCCCATTCAAGCCCACACTGTGTGGAGCTGGAGCTTCCAATATTGCTCTCCCAGTGCAGCTGATCTTCTAGCACAGAGAAAGGTTTCAGAGAACCAGGAATTTTTCCCTGGGCAGCGGCACAAATTTTTGCAGCACTCCAAGAGCTTAAAAAAAATTAATGCTCTTCCCAACCAGTCCGGAGGATAAAAAATGATTCAGACTTCTCCCTAAGGCTGCCTTCCCCAGTCTGCCAAGAGGCAGCCACCTCTGCTGGTCAATTCCAGGCTGCTCTTCAGAGCTCTGTGGGCATTTGTGAAACTGACCAGAAGCTCTCTCTCTCCTGCTGCTGCCCACTGTGAAACTCAGCAGTAGCAGAGGCTTCAGGGGAGTTATTAATTGAGGGCGGGGGCAACTGGAACCTCGTGGGGAGTAGGGTAACAGAGTTCCCCACACAGACTGCTTCAGACCTTATTACATGGCAACTAGATAGACACACAGACAGGAGATGGAGCCCCTAAATACAGTCCATGGACAGCATCCCAGTAAGAATTCCAGCAACCTCAGTGGCTTAATGTGGGGAGGTGGGATCTCTTATCTGGTCTCATTGGTGCTCCCCCTCATCAGCCTGCTGGCTAGTCACCTCAGGGCTGTGACTAGCAGGAGTCAGATACATTTTTCAGTGCCAGGTCAAGTGACTTGTTTCCTGTTCCACAGATGGGCAGAATAGAAGTTCCCCCTCCGTTTTATGAAGTGCCAGCAGGTTTTTCACACCCTGTCCCCACCTCCTACTCCCTCCCTCTGTGTATTTCCTGCCCTGCCCTCCCCTCTCCAGGGCAAACCCTTCAGCAGCTCCCTGGAAATCCCCTACCTCAGTGAGCAGTGCTGCATCCTGCACCAGCTGTGCGGAAGCCATTTCCCTGCCCTGTCTCCCAGCAGAGGGGGACGATCTGCAGCGAACGTGGACGTGATTCTGCAGCCTGTCAGGGTGAGAAGGGCGATGGGGCAGGTTCCAGAAGGGGTGTTAGTCCATTTCACACCCCAATTCCTCCCAGGCTCTTTCCCTGCAGACACACACTCTGGACTCTGCAATGTTGGGAAAAGGGTCACTTCACTACAGGGCAGACCTGGCCCCTCCCACAGGACTAAACCCACCAGGACATTTGCAAACCCTCCCAGTTACACAAAAAAAAAAAAATAAATAAAATCTCTGAAGCAAACTCTAGAAAAGAGCAGAATCAAAGGAGCCGTTTTGGGGGATCCCCCAACACTGTCCCCAGGGCAGGACATTCCCCCAGCAGCCCGAAGACCAGGCAGAGGCAGGAACTGGCTTTTCCTTTCTCTGCTGCTCAGCGGAAGTTATGTTTCCTCCAAACCCAGAAATCCCTGCAGTTTCAAGACAGTGAGCAGATGTGAACCAAATCCTGAAGAGATTTTGTAACAACATTTGAGGAGTTGTGATTAAAGCAAAGGAGTGCTAGGTGGATGGAGGACCTAGAGGATTCTTAAAATTTCTATACCCCCTCACAGGATAGAAAGTCACCACCTTCCTACTTCACAGACATTCCTGGGGGGGAAGCAACACCCACAGAGGATGCTTACACAGAGTTTTTGGGACTGCATGGCGTGAAAGCATCCCTGGGAACCAAAGAGAAGTTGTGATAATTGAGCCTACAAATTTACCCTAATTGTGGGCTTACCTGTAAAAAATGAGTGAAAGTTAATGAACCATGACAGTAACCAATAACAAATATTAATGGGAAAAGGTGCAAAGGGGAGACAGACAGACGGACTGCATTAGTCCAAACAAAACGGCCTCCTGATATTACTCAAGGACTGTGTTAAGATCATGCCTGGTAAACAAGAAAAGTGAGAGACCAGAAATAAATGAACCAAAATTGGTGTGTTGAAAACCAGGCCCACCCAGTGGATAAAATAGCGAGAGGATGGGCTAGTCTAGCCATCATTCCCTTTGGGGGTCCGTAAAAGAAAAGGCTTTGTTGGGGAGAAGTGCAAGCACAACAATGGCTGTGTGAAAGAAGAGGAAAGAGCAAGCTACACCATCGTGTCTCCTGGGATCCACCATTACACCCCTGGGCCATCACCATGAGTCTAAGAGATGTCCTGACCTGGCCAGATGACACAGGTTCTGCCTAAATCCCAAACCTTTCCCCCTCCCTCAGCAAAAGATTTTTTTAAGCTAAGAAGATATGAGTGTATTGGAGAAACAAACACAAATATCCCCCCAAAACCTGAATGTTCAGGAGCCACTCACTAGAGCCAAGTAGATTACAAAAATGCAAAGGTCCCCAATCCTTCCCACAGATCCATGTGGGTCTTTTCAGGGGCTGTCACGATATTCACGAGAAAGGGGGTCACGTGGAAACAGTCACACAAAGGCACCAAGTGGCTTAAGATCCGGCACATCTGATGGATCAAACACATTCTAGTCAGAATTTTAATAAGGGGGAGACTTTCCCCATCACCATGGAGTTCGAAGGGACCCCTCAGTAAAGAATAAATCCAGTACTCGTCCCTCTCTGTTTCCTCCCTCCCTGTGCAGAGATGATGCAATCAGATTTCACACACTTTTCCACCCCTATTTTTTACCCCTTTCCTTCCTGACAATTCTACCCCCAATAGAGAAAAAAAATAGAGACATTTAGGACCCTGTTCATAACCCCCCCCCCCCCATTATTACCCCTAGAGTGGGGCCACAGCTGAAGGCAGCAGCTCAATTGCTGTTAACTCAGCTCCCAGCCCTCCAGGCAGTAACAAGGGGGCAGATTCCCAGGGGCTCCAAGATCTGAGCCTCCCTGAGCCGTTTGTGCAGAGTCACTTTCCTGCCCGACCCCAGCCCTTTCCCCGGGTCTCTCCCCTCACCTGCAGGCTCAGGGGCTGGTGGCGGCAGAGCCCGGGGCTGGTTCCAGCCCCCGCAGAAAGTCCCCACCCGGGCTGGGCTTGTATAGAGCGCGCTGGGGAGCACCAACGGCACAGCCCGGGCTCCCCCCGGCTTACAATGGAGGCTGAGCAGCAGCGTCTGACCCAGGAAGTTCACCAGTCAGCAAACAAGACAGGGATGTTTCCCTGCCTGCACCCATATGCAGCAATAAGCAGAGCCCTCTTGCGGTAGCAACCAGTGAAATGAATAAACTAGAGATAACAAGGAGTCCGGTGGCACCTTAAAGACTTTATTTGGGCATAAGCTTTCGTGGGTAAAAACCCCACTTCTTCAGATGTTTTTACCCACGAAAGCTTATGCCCAAATAAATCTGTGAGTCTTTAAGGTACCACCAGACTCCTTGTTGTTTTTGTGGATACAGACTAACAGGGTACCCCTGATCCTAGAGATAGCCCGTCCCAGGGCTGGTCTACCCCCAGAAATTGCACTGGTTTTAATTGAGGGGTCATCTGCATGGGAAATCAGGCCAGATTAACTAAAGTTGTGAAGGTAAAGCACATTAAACCCCTGTGTGAATGCTGATTCCCTCCTTCACTTCCCATGCAGCCCTCTCCTTAATCTGTTTTCAAATCAATTTAGTTTATATCAGTGAATCCCGTTCGGTGGACACTCCTACATTGGGCTGGTGACAAATGGGATTTGGGCTTCCTGGGGCCACGTCCAGTGGTGAGCTGGAGTCCTTTCGCACCAGTTCGCTAGAACCGGTTGTTAAATTTACAAAAAGAAAAGGAGGACTTGTGGCACCTTAGAGACTAACCAATTTATTTGAGCATGAGCTTTCGTGAGCATCCGATGAAGTGAGCTGTAGCTCACGAAAGCTCATGCTCAAATAAATTGGTTAGTCTCTAAGGTGCCACAAGTCCTTTTCTTTTTGCGAATACAGACTAACACGGCTGTTACTCTGAAACTTGTTAAATTTAGAAGCCCTTTTAGAACCAGTTGTTCTGCGAGGGACAACCGGTTCTAAAAGGGCTTCTAAATTTAACCAGCTCAAAGTGACGCCTTAGGCGCGGACTCCAGCTGGAGCACCCAAGGGGAAAATTTGGTGGGTGCAGAACACCCACCGGCAGCTCCCCACCCCACCCCCGGCCCCAGCCCCAGCTCACCTCTGCTCCACCTCTGCCTCCTCCCCTGAACGCGCCGCCCTGCCCTGCTTCTCCGCCCCCCTGAGAAGCAAGTGAGGGCTTCACGCTCAGGCCCAGGGAGGCGGAGGGGAGCTGGGGCCGGGGTGGGGGGGAGGCATGAGGAGGAACCGCTCCTTTGCCCCAGCTCACCTCCGCCACCCTCAGTCTGAGCTGGAAGCCGCTGCCTGCTTCTCAGCCCTCCAGGCTTCCCGCTGAACAGCTGATTCACGGGAAGCCAGGGGCCTGGAGAAGCAGAGCGGGGCGGTGCGTTCAGGGGAGAAGGCGGAGGCGAGCTGGGGGTGGGGCGGGGAGCTGCCGGTGGGTGCTCTGCACCCACCAAATTTTCCCCTTGGGTGCTCCAGCCTAGGAGGCAGAGGGACCTGCTAGATGCTTCCTGGGAGCTGCCCTAGGTAAGCACCGCCGGGGCTCCCCACCTTGCCCCCCGGCAGGTGCCTCTGGCTCTTAGGGGTGGGGTGGGCACCCCTACGGTGGCCCACGAGACCCTCCTGCCCGGTTCTGGGGGCAGACGGGGAGGGGGTGGATGGGGCAGGGGTCCTGGGGGGGCATCAAGGAACATGGGGGGGTTGGATGGGGCAGGAGTCCCTGGGGGTGGGAGTGGGCAACAACCTCCTCGTGGGGTGAGGAGGGAACCCGTTGTTAAGATTTTGGCTGATCATCACTGGCCACGTCCCCATCGGTCCCACGTCCCTTTTCTTTTCAGGATTCCTCAGCCAACCCCTGGTCCCGTCCCCCACCCCCAGAATCCCTGCCTCCCCTGCAGTCTCCTTGTAGCCATCCCCTCCTAGGGCAAGATGGGGGAGGCCAATGTTAGTACTGCCAGGCTCTCCTGTCTCTTTAAGGCCCCCACTCAGACAGGAACCCAGCTGGCAGGAAGAACCTTCAAAGGCAGGTACTTTCATCATATTTGTGGATGTGTCCAAGACTTATGCCAGTGCAAATGCAGAGCTGGAGGGGCTTGGAGTTTGCAAGGGGAGCAGCCTGGGTTGATCTGGGGTGAAAGGCATGTCTGGCTGAGGGGAGACTACTGGGGGAAGAACTTCTCCCACTTGAGACATAGAAATAATGTATCGGTTTTTCTGGTCTTTTCTCCCTCTCTCCTTTTTTACAAGTTTTAAACCAAAAATACACAGAAACAATCATCCCCTGAGGAAGGGGTATGATGTGAAATGTTTAGAGACGAAAACTGTCCCAGAGTGACCCAGGTTACAGAGGGGCCAGTGGCACAGGTGGAAAGAGAACCCAGGAATTCTTATTCCCAGCCCTGCCCCAACCCACTAGAGCCCGCTGCCCCTCCTAGAGCTGGGCATAGATCCCAGGAGTCCTGATTCCCAGCCCTGCCCCCCACTGCTCTAACTCACTAGACCTAACTGCCCTCCCAGAGCGGGCATAGAACCCAGGAGTCCTGACTCCACTGCTCTAACCCACTAGACCCCCCTGCCCTCCCAGAGCTGGGCATAGAACCCAGGAGTCCTGATTCCCAGCCCTGCCCCCCACTGCTCTAACTCACTAGACCTCACTGCCCTCCCAGAGCGGGCATAGAACCCAGGAGTCCTGACTCCACTGCTCTAACCCACTAGACCTAACTGCCCTCCCAGAGCTGGGCATAGAACCCAGGAGTCCTGACTCCACTGCTCTAACCCACTAGACCCCCCTGCCCTCCCAGAGCTGGGCATAGAACCCAGGAGTCCTGATTCCCAGCCCTGCCCCCCACTGCTCTAACTCACTAGACCTCACTGCCCTCCCAGAGCGGGCATAGAACCCAGGAGTCCTGACTCCACTGCTCTAACCCACTAGACCCCCCTGCCCTCCCAGAGCTGGGCATAGAACCCAGGAGTCCTGACTCCCAGCCTTCTAATCACTACCCAGTCCTGCTCCACCCCTCACTGCCTGGGAACAGAGAGCCTGAGTCACCAGATGTTACAAACTCCCTGCTAGGGGCCCAGGGACAAGATCCAATTCTGGGCGAGGAGATGCTCCCCTCTCTGTTTCACTGTAACTCTCTTCTCCGCCTCCTCCTCAGCTCAGGGGACCCTTTGTGTTTGACAGAGGAGCCAGCAGGATGTGCTCATCTGCCCCAGGGGCCTGGTGTATTTCAGTCTCCGGGGCTGTGGGCACAGACGCCTCTGCTTGATTTGCCCCCAGCTCCCTCCCCCATCTCCTCTTATGGCCAGGGAAACTCTGGATGGGGAAGAAACCCTGGCTCCCACACCCCAGCTTTGTGGGGACAGTCAGTCAGTGGAGGGTAGTTGTTTGGGAGCTTGTCTTTTGGAGATGCTAAAAGAAGACCCGGAGACAGGCTGGATCCCAATCTCCTGTGTGCTAATGGTCAATTATTGTGGCTACAGGGACAAACCATCCCGATGTGTAGAAAGAATAGTAAATATGGCAGGCGACCAGCTTGGCTTAACAGTGAAATCCTTGCTGATCTTAAACACAAAAAAGAGTCTTACAAGAAGTGGAAGATTGGACAAATGACCAGGGATGAGTACATAAATATTGCTCGGGCATGTAGGAATGAAATCAGGAAGGCTAAATCACACCGGGAGTTGCAGCTAGCGAGGGATGTTATGAGTAACAAGAAGGGTTTCTTCAGGTATGTTGGCAACAAGAAGAAAGCCAAGGAAAGTGTGGGCCCCTTACTGAATGAGGGAGGCAACCTAGTGACAGAGGATGTGGAAAAAGCTAATGTACTCAATGCTTTTTTTTGCCTCTGTCTTCACGAACAAGGTCAGCTCCCAGACTACTGCACTGGGCAGCACAGCATGGGGAGGAGGTGGCCAGCCGTCTGTGAAGAAAGAAGTGGTTCTGGACTATTTAGAAAAACTGGACGTGCACAAGTCCTTGGGGCCGGATGCGTTGCATCCGAGAGTGCTAAAGGAATTGGCGGATGTGATTGCAGAGCCATTGGCCATTATCTTTGAAAACTCATGGTGATCGGGGGAAGTCCCGGAAGACTGGAAAAAGGCTAATGTAGTGCCCATCTTTAAAAAAGGGAAGAAGGAGGATCCTGTGAACTACAGGCCGGTCAGCCTCACCTCAGTCCCCGGAAAAATCACGGAGTATGTCCTCAAGGAATCAATTCTGAATCACTTTGAGGAGAGGAAAGTGATCAGGAATAGTCAGCATGGATTCACCAAGGGAAAGTCATGCCTGACTAATCTAATTGCCTTCTATGATGAGATAACTGGTTCTGTGGATGAAGGGAAAGCAGTGGACGTGTTATTCCTTGGCTTTAGCAAAGTTTTTGACACGGTCTCCCACAGTATTCTTGTCAGCAAGTTAAAGAAGTATGGGCTGGATGGATGCACTACAAGGTGGCTAGAAAGTTGGCTAGATTGTCGGGCTCAACGGGTAGTGATCAATGGCTCCATGTCTAGTTGGCAGCCGGTATCTAGCGGAGTGCCCCAAGGGTCGGTCCTGGGGCCGGTTTTGTTCAATATCTTCATTAATGATCTGGAGGATGGTGTGGATTGCACCGTCAGCAAGTTTGCGGATGACACTAAACTAGGAGGAGTGGTAGATATGCTGGAGGGTAGGGATAGGATACAGAGGGACCTAGACAAATTGGAGGATTGGGCCAAAAGAAATCTTATGAGGTTCAACAAGGACAAGTGCAGAGTCCTGCACTTAGGACGGAAGAATCCAATGCACCGCTACAGACTAGGGACCGAATGGCTAGGTAGCAGTTCTGCAGAGAAGGACCTAGGGGTTACAGTGGACGAGAAGCTGGATATGAGTCAGCAGTGTGCCCTTGTTGCCAAAAAGGCCAATGGCATTTTGGGGTGTATAAGTAGGGGCATTGCCAGCAGATCGAGGGACGTGATCGTTCCCCTCTATTTGACATTGGTGAGGCCTCATCTGGAGTACTGTGTCCAGTTTTGGGCCCCACACTACAAGAAGGATGTGGAGAAATTGGAGAGAGTCCAGCGAAGGGCAACAAAAATGATTAGGGGTCTAGAACACATGACTT